CCCCCACTGAGTTGCTGGACCAGGGAGTCTCAGTTAAAGGAGGTATAACCTGTAGTGACACCCATACTTAGTGTTGTCCAGCATTTTAATTGCATAAAGGATCATTTGTTTTTTGTTTGAGGGGGGCAATTTGGGCTGTATTCAAAATTGCTGGAAATAGAAAATTAGGTAGGGAAAAAATGGTGGAATAGCTTTCATTGAGTCTTTTGACTGTTTTGATTTAGTTGATTATGGTAAGGCAGTGTTGCATAATGGATACAGGAGAGGGCTGGAAGTCAAGATGTGTGATCTCTGCTACTGGCCTGCTGGGTAAACTTGGGCGGATCACTTGGGCCATGTGCCTTAGTTTACAAAATTGGATAATGATTGTAAAGTACTCTTAAATCCTATTGATAAGCATTTTATAAAAGCCAGATAATGATTATTACTAACTGCTTGGCAGTGTTTAGGACTCTTGAATTATTGCACTTTGGGGTATGCATTAAACTGAGCAAAAGTACTTTTTAAGGCAGTACTCAAAAGGAATGTAGGTATTTATGTGCCAGGCTATCTGAAGCACACAGTGCATGTGCTTGATCTTGTAAGAAGTGTGTTGTATGAATTACATTGAAAGACGAGTGCTTCACTTGATATGCACCTTCTAAGGTGATGTCTGTGAGGAGGAGCCTTTGGCACGTTTACTGCACACCTTGCATAGAACAAGGTATTCTGGTGTTAAAATTAGAAATTTCATACTCTGGAATTTTTCTTTATTTAAAAAAATAGGAATGAAGGGAAAATTCCATTTTTTTTTTAAGTCAAAACATATTAAGAGAATGAGTACAGGCAGTCCCCGACTTACGCGGATCCGACTTATGTCAGATCCGCACTTACGAACGGGGCTTTCTCGCCCCGGAGCTCACAGGCAGCAGTCAGCCACCTTGACCTCCGGGGCGAGAAAAGCTGCTCCTGGTGTCCAGTTCTGCTGGGGACCGTCTCCAGCAGACCAGGGGCATCAGGAGCAAAGCAGCAGCCCCGGCGGGTTTGCTCGCGGTGCCCCTGGTCTGCTGGGGACCGTCTCCAGCAGACCAGGGGCACCGGGAGCAAAGCGGGTCCCGCGCCAGAGCAAAGCCTCACAGGCGAGACACCCCGCCGCTGCGGCTTTGCTCCCCGTGTCCCCGGCCCGCT